TTGGTGATTGTGTTGTGGATCTGTATAGCAAATAAGTTCATGTTGGGGCTGCAGTGAGTTGGAGGGTGGGTCTGTGTGTACACACGCACCCTGCATCTGCTATTCATGTCTAGGCCTGACCTCATTTAGTCCCAAACCTTGTTGAGCACATGCTGCAGCCCAGCATTTCTCAGAGGCTTTATGTGGCTGAAGCTTTGTAGCTGGCTGGGCAGATCTGTGAAGCCTCTTGGGATGGGCATGTACCCTAAGGCAGAACAGGATGGCTGGACGTTGGAAGCTGCTTCCTTGAACTTAGTGCTTTGTCCCGTTCAATTCACAGGCTCTCAGAGACAAGGATTCCTCGACACTCTGAAGGCAACACCAGCCAGATATCCTTTGGTGCCTGTGTCTTTTTGGGCTAGTCTCCTCTTTGCATATTGACATGGTCCTGGATCGGGCAGGGTGCTGGGGAAGAACCCTAAAGCTGTAGTGATCTGGGGAGGGTCGCACTCACCTACAACATGCTGTAAGCCTTTCCATCAGGGCACCTCAATGTACCTTCCAAATCTTTGTTGATGTCATCTCCTTCCTCCTGGGAGGCAGAGGGCAGGCTTCTCTGTCTGCGTAGCTAGTGAGACCCTGGGTTCAGCACACAGCCGCTCACCGTTGACTTGGGTTTGGGAGGCAAGCTGGCTTCTGGCATGGGAGGGGATACAGGGAAAAGCAGGGGATATCCCTGAACTGGCTGCAGTGAGCTGTGCCCAGGTGGGCGTTCCTGGAGCCGCACTGGCAGTGAGGGGAAGGGACCTGCCTGCCTTCTCTGTGCTAAGGAGATACATTCTCTGTGCTAGGGCAGGACAGGTGCTTTCCCTCGGGGTTAGGATGCGCATTCTCCAAGCCTCCCATCCAGCCCCTGTTGGGCATGTCACGGCCTTGTGTGCCTCTCCACAGACAGCATCTCTAGCATGAGGCTCTCCTGTAGTCAGACCACAGGGCTCTCCCTGCTGTATGGGTTCAAGCCTGGGGTTTCCTTGACTCTTCCCACTGTGCTGGAGCTGGTGATCTGTTTTTTCTCAGTCTGGTCTATTTTGGGCCTCTCAGGTTTTCACACTTACCTAGTCGCCTCCAACCTGACAACAAACGAAGACGTAAGTACTGTGTGCACCACGTCTTGGCAGAGGGACCAAACGGCTGTGAGCGCCACCTCGGAGCTTGCACTCCGTTGCTTTCTAGGCAGCAAAGAGGGGATCTGCTCATCTGTTGGTGGCCCACCTTGCAGCAGCGCGGCCGGCGGGGGTTACCTTAACAGTGGATGATGATTACAAAGCAAATAGTCAGCTTTAGGCCACGGGGGTTTGCGTTGTGGTTCAGGTAGTAGGGTAGGGAGTCGCAGCTGGGGGGAGGGGGGGTACAGGGCATGCCAGAGAGAGCAGCACATAGGGTTTGTGCTGAGGCTGACCCAAGGGCTAGTACACTGCAGCCTTTGAGCTGGACCCCCCACCATGGCTTTGAACATGACTGTACCAGCCAGGAAATTGGTTTTAAAATTCCATTTGGTTTAAAATGTGTTGGCTTGAAACTAGACTTGCTTTCCAGACATGCCTTTTGCTGCGGTGGGGAGCTGAACAGCAGAGGGGCAGGCCAGGAGAGGGCTTTGGGTGTTAGGCTCCGACTCCCGAGGTCTTGGGTCAGCCCTTCCTTGCCATGGACTTTCTCTGATGGTGGGAAAGTCCCTCAGTCTGTCTCAGTTCCTCCTCTGTAAAGGGTGGAGTGCACGAGGGTGCTGTGGAAAGAAATACATGAAAGACGGGGGCATGCTCAGAAGCTGTAGCAACAGGACCATGCAGGTGCCTGGCTAAGGTAGACTGGCTCTGTCTCAGACAGAACAGCTGTTGGCTTCAAGAGGCTCAGCAGCCATTGTTAGGAAGACTCATATCCCTTGCTGTCAGACACACGAGCGTGGCTGCAGAGTGAATGGAGGGCATGGCTTCCTCCTCCTGCCTTCAGCCCTGCAGCTGGGGTCCTGCTAGGTCAACAGAGGGCCCTGCGCGGGGCTGAGCACAGAGCCGAGCCCTGGTGCACGGTCCGTTGCTCCCCGCTGCATTGCTCGCACTGCTGGTTCCGCATGGCAGCTGGGGAGGAAGTGCGAATGTGGCTTGTAAATCCCCGCACCCTGGTTCTGGCCCACCCCAACTTCCACGGCTTCAGTGTCTGAGAGTCCAGAATGATAGCGTGCCCTCCTGCAGGCTGCTCAGGATGGCAAGGACATCCTCCCATCAGCTGAGCAGCCTGGGAGCTGCCCTAGCTATGTGCGCTAGGTGCTGTACAGAAGTATGCCCCTGCCCTGGAGAGGTCTCAGTCTGAGCAAGACTAACAGGAAGTGATGGAAGCAAGGGCCCCAGCCACGTGTCGGTGTGATGCATGGGCCGCAGTGCAGGGAGGGTCTGGCTGTCTGAGACTACGTGTGGGCAACGACAGGAAAGCTGCTTGCTGTGGAGACGCAGGGAGCTGAGGAAAGGCAGCCAGAGGGCTCTGCAGAGGGATCCATCCTCGCATCCCATATGCAGTGTGGTTTCTCCTAGCCTGTCTGTCTAGGAAAGGGAAGAGCCCTGCTCCTCTGTGTTGCCATGCCTGGTCCTGGAGCCCTTCTGTCATCGCCAGCCTGGGCTTCTTGAGTGGGGCATGGACGGTTCAGGAGATGCCCTCCCCTGCACCCTGGCAGCAGTTGGTGCGGAGAGCACGAACCCATCCTGGTGGTTGGCCCCCACATCCTAACCTGGGCCTGTCCTTTTGATTGCAGATCAAAGGGTCGTGGTCAAATAAGAGGGGCTCAGAGTTTGCCAATCCCTACAGCCATAAAAGCATCCTCACAAACTGCTGCGCGGTGCTGTGTGGACCCTTCCACCCCAGGTAAGGGCTTCGTGTCGCTGTCTCTGGGCTTGCTCCTGGCAGCTGGCACTTACACCTGGGGCCACATGTGGAAGCTGAGGAGGGGCAAGCTCATGCTGGTGCCCAGGAGGCCTGGTTGCAGATGGGGTAGGGGCTGCTATGATGCAGCCTCCAGAGGGGTGAGGTGACCAGTTTGAGGCTCAGGGGAAGGTCAGGTGAACATGCACATGTGGGTGCCAGCAGACTTCTTCGCCCTCCTCTGAAACCTGCTGGCTGAGGCTACTTCTACCCTCCTGTCCTGGTGTGAGCAGCGTGGCTGGGATTTCCCCGTGGTGCAGCCTGGGTGGGAGCATGCAGTAGGCAGCTACTAGACATATATTTCCTGGGTCAGCGCCTTTCCTTTCTGCAGTGTTAAAAGCCGGTGCCATGATGCCTGAACGTTTCTTGGCAGAGAGGCTGCAGGGGGCTGCACAAATCAGCTCTACTTGTTAGTGCAAATCGTTCAAGTCCTGACGCTGGAAGCTCTGTGGTGACAGAGCTATCGAAATGTTACTGTCAGACCAGGGTGAAGGTGGAGCACGTGACAGGAGCAGGCGCTGTGGTTAAAGAGGATTCTTAGTTTTTTCTAACAGCTGCATGGTGTTGATCACAAAAGGCTTGGGAGCCGCCTTAGCTACCGCCCACCCCTCCTTTGGAGGGGTCTCGCTGCATGTGCCCCTGCTACAGCCACCAGGCTGTCTGGGTGGGATCAGACCTGACGTTCCCAATAGGTCAGTGGTGAGAAATAAGCATCAGAGAGGCTTTTGGGTCGGTACCTTCCACCCTGGGATGCCAGCCCAGCTTTTCACTTGGCCACCCCCTTTCTGCCAGGCATAGCTGGAGAGGCTGCAATCACTCCTGCAGTGACTCTGGCAGCTGTTGCATAGATGAAGCCAGAGAGCATGTGCCAGACTGCGGGCACCCCTGCCCTTCCGGAGAGGAGGGGTGCTGCTGTGTGACAAACTGGAGTCCTCGACCTGGTGGCAAGTTGCAGGTGGCTTGGCCACTGTGGCCTTCCAGCAATGCTGCAATTTCCTGGAAATGTCTAGTTCCCCCCAACAGTTGGGCCCACAGTTCCCGTTATAGCAGGAAGAATGCCAGACATCTCGGGTTTCTGCATCACTGCTGCTGACTTGCACTGGCCAGTGAAACCAGCCCCAGGGGTGCTGGCTTCTGCAGGCCCCGGCATGGCAGAGGGCCCTGGCCCTCATGTTCACTGTTTCAAAGTGTTGACTTTGACTGGCTGATCTTTCCAAACAAATGGTGATTTGTGCAACCTCAGGTGTGTCATTTCCCTGCTGCCCGGTCTTCTTGGGCTCAGTGGTCCTGGCAGCTATGACTCCAAGTCCATCCAAAGCATTAGTCAGGAGGATGTTGCTGGGCAGATTCCAGGCTTGTATCTTGTGCTTGGTTGTTGGATCTTACTCCTTGCAGGGATGTACAGCTCTTAGCCAGCTGACTGCTGTAGGGGATCCCTTGAAACTGAATTTCTTCCACTGGCAGGAAATTAGGGGTGTTACCTGGATGAGGTTTGCTCGTGCAGTTCAGGACTAGGTAAGACAGGCTGGCTTGGATAGGGGTGGCCTCCTGAGGGCCCTGCCTTTCCATGGCTGGATGGGCACATGTTGCTTTGTCAGTCTCTTGTGGTTTTAAGGTTTCAGTGTGTTTTGGAGCATAGCTGTGGGCGTGGGCAGCTGCTGTCCTGGTGCAGGGTTGGCTCCCTGCCCTGACTCTGTGCAAGGTGGCAGGATCCTATGGGCTGAGTTGAACCCGCTGCGTGGTGCTAGCAGACAGCTCTAACGTGCTAATGCTGGAATGCAATGAGGGTCCAAAATCCCCCAGGGTTGGGTGCTGGCTGGCTGCTTCCATAGCAGCTCTGGTCACTAAGATGCAACTCCTGGCACTGGTTCTTTGATGAGCTTGGGATTAACTCCTCCCTTCTTGTCTTCTAGTTTAATAGACAGAAGAGGATTTATCCAGCCGGACGTCGGGACTCCATCCAGTCCCAAGAGTGAGGTCCCCTCCTTTGGAGCCAAAAGTGACACCAGCATGGTAGGAGGCATTCCCTAGCGGTGCTGTGCTCTAGCCTGTGCCTGTCATGCCTGTGCCTAGCTCCAGCCAGTACCTTCCCTGTTACTGCCTCCCTGGCCTCAGGCAGCACAGCCCTGTGATGCAGAGCTGCCAAAGACTCAGTCGAGCCATACGTTGCCTTCTTTTTTTAAATGTATTTATTGTTTTGTTTCACTGTGATAATGGGCCCCCCATGGACTCTCCGCTGTATTGGCATTGGTAAGCAAACCCCTGTCCTCCAAGGATGGAGGAGGTCTTGGGAAGACCCAGGCTTGGGGTGGTTGTGCCAGAGAGCTGCCACCTCCCCCACCAGCACTGCCAAGTGGGCAACAGTGTCTCGTGCGTGGACCGGGGGTGAAATGAGCTCAGCCAACAGCCCAGCTCCTTGGGTTTCCGCTGTAGCTGGGGGTTTGCTTCCTGGGCTGGTGAAAGTTGGAAGTGGCAGGATTGCCCGTTCTCTCTGCCAGTGCCCCAGTGTTGCCAAGGGCAGCTCTGTGCGTCATAAGCTGCGGTGCCATCAGGCCCTACTCAGGGCCTGGCTTTTCCTCGCCAGCAACCGGATGGCTGTTCCCAGCAGATGGGGGAGCTCTCACCAGCTTGCAAGACAGGCTGGCCCACTCTTTGCTTCCAGAGCTCTGTTAGCCAATGACGGGGACATGCAGGGACAGGGGCAGCACCAGGGGTGCCCCTGAGCTTGGCGATGACTAGAACAAAGTGCAGCACTTGGTGCTTCCCAGGGCGTTGCCCTTCTGTGGTCACTGCTGGATGTCTGGGCAGCACCACGTGGCCAGGAGAGCCTAAGCAGTTTCACGGCAGCATCAGGGAGCAGACTGCTGAGAGACGTGGCCATCCTGACCAGGGTTATGTTGCAGGACCAGCAAATGCTGGTGTCCATCAGCATCAGGCTATGCTCTGGCTGCGGGTTGCCAGCCCTGGGATGGCCCCTTCGGAGTCCAGCCCTGCTCTGAGCTCCTCTGCCCTCCTGCCAGCTGTGGAAGCCATGCATCATGCCTCCTGGGCTCCTTGGTGCCAGTGTGTCCATGGGTTAGCCAGGCTGGGGCGTGAGTCTGACTTGTTAGTGGTATGCATCATTAAAAGTTGCTGGGTATTTTTGCACAATTCATAGAGTTTTTACCAGTGTGTTTTGTATCTGGGTACAGGTGGTAGTAGGGAGCCCTAGCACCAGGCAGGGTTGGTGTTAGCTGGTCTGGACCCTGACCCTTTTCTTCCTTCCCTGCCGACATAAGTAAAGCTGGCTTGTGTGGAAGGGGCTGTGCTGCTGCTGGGATGCTCCGGCTGTGAGGGTCTGAGCAGGTCTCTGGGCTACCTAATTGCTTGAGGCAGGCCAGACACATGCCCCCACCATGGGTTTCTCAGAGGTCAGCCGTCCCCTTTTCCCCTCTGGGTGCCAGCACTGATCGCAGTCGTGTTGTGTTACTAGCCATGAGATGTTGGCATTTGGGACATGCCCCGCAGTGCCAGGGTAAAGCGCGTGCAGCATGTCCTGGGCTTCAGGCAGGGCTGCAAGGGAAGCGTTAGCTGAGGAGAAGGTTGTTCCTCCACGGACGGCTGGCTGGCAGAGAACATGCCCCTGCCATCTCCGAGATGTTTGTTGTCTCCCAAGTTTCTGGCTTGTTGCAGAGATCTTGGTATTGAAGCAAGCCGTGCGTGCTCTTGCCACTGAGAATTCCCATTCTCTGCCTCGCTTCCCTCTGCTGATGGCAGGGACTGTGTGGCCAGCATATCGAGGCCTGTGAGCTGACGGGTCCTGAACCCATTGAGGGCCCGGTGCACAAGAGAACTGCCCCCCACCCCGTGCAGTGTCCGGAGGTTGAACTTCTGCCAGAGCCCAGCAGGTGGCCCCGCAGCCCAGGCACGCAGCAGGCTGGCATGTCTCCGGAGGCTGATCTTAGCCCCATTCGCTGCCTCGGGAGAGGGACTCTCCAGAGCTGCCTGCCCGGCACCTGTTTCTAGCTCACCTCATGCTGCCCCTAATGCATCAGCATGGACTCTCCTGTGTTTCAAGGGGGCCATTAACACTGCATGTGTGAGGGCAGGATGGGCGCTGGGGGTGCTGGTCACACTGGGAGGCTGCAGCCTTAAGTGCTGGGCTAGGACCGCTGGCCAGTGTGGGGGGCCAAGGGTTGTTGGAGCACTCCAGGGCAGTGGGGAGGGGTCCAGCTCAGCTCTCACATTTTTATTTAACCTTATTCCCTTGTTACTTGCTGTAATAAATTCTATTTTTAAAGAGTTAATTGCTTGGGGGTTTTATTCCCTTGTGATTTGCGAGGTAGCTCCTAGCTGTAGTTGCCCTGTAGTGTGAGGGTCTGTCCGGCGCATAAGGGTAGGCTGTCCCTTTCAGTGGCAAGCCCTGCCTGGCTGCTGCGCTAGCTTTCAGCAGGCACAGACAGAAGGTGCCGCCAGCCCCGCAGCTCCTCCCTGCCTAGAAGGCTCCCGGCTTCTCGGGGTTTTGCCATTTCAGCTGCTGGAAGTTGACCCGGGTCAACTTGCACCTTCCTCTTGCATCCGAGGGGAAGCCTTTTCCTGCTCCAGCCAGCGGTGCCCAAGGAGCTGAGCATGCCCTGAAGCTGGCACAGCCTGCTCAGTCTGCACCAGTGGCAGCTGAGATGCGTAAACTCTGGTGTCTTCCCCAGGAGGATGCCTGCCAGGACTTTGCCATTTCCTGCACAGCCTGATGGGATATCCTCCCCCCCTGGATGTTAGCCCTGCTTTCTGAGGGTTAGCTGGTAAGAAAGCACCTTCTCCTTCCCTCCGGTCCAGTGGCTCATCTCATCTTCACTGCATGACTCGCTGTCCATGGATCCATCCACCCTCTGGTGTGTGCGCAGATGTGTGTGCGCAGCGGGTACCACCGGCCCAGCCTCACGAGGGGCATCATCTGTGCCAAGCGGCAGAGAATGCCACAGCCTTGGAGGGAGGCTAGGGCAGGCTTTGCCTGGGAGCAGGCAGCCTGAGCCCAAATGGGCATCGCTGAGCAGAGGCGTGCAGTGGGGGTGGGTGGCAGAGCTGCTGTGGGTGCAAAGGCAAATCCTGGGCTGGGGCAGGGCTCTGGTGTTGCCTGTGGTGTAAGTGCAGGGGGCCTGGAGCACGCTCCTGGTCTCAGCTCCGCTACCAACAGAGTCCACAGCTAAGTCCCTTCCTCGTCTCTGGAATACAAGGCTTGTCCTTCCCCTGTACCTGTGCCAGAGGCAGGTACCCGCAGAGAGTTCGGCCTGCGGCAGAGATGCTATTCTCTAGTGACAGGAGGCAGCAGCCCCAGGGACAGCCCTCCTAGTGCCTGTGTCGCTGCCCAGCTGGGCCTTCCATGCCTGCTACAACAGGATCACTGAGCACCCCTGCCCCTGCCTGCCCAGCACAGTCCTGGCAGCACTCTGAATTTATGGACCTGAGACCAGCAGCCCTGTAGAGCCCCCGCGCCCCTTCCACTGACCTCCTGCAGCATGTGCAGATGCGAAGTAAGCCATGTCCCAGCCACTGCGGCATGCACAGCGAGCTGTAAGTCTGCAGGCTGTCCTGCTGACAGTGGCACGGGCACTTTGTCCCCCTCTCCCTGCTGCGCTGCCTGGTTCTGCTGGAAGTCGTGCTCCCACGCTGTCACCTGCTGCATGACGCTCCAGAGCAGCAGCGTTGCTTGGGTCTCATTGCTCAGGTTCTGCCCAGCTGACCTTTGCCTGCCAGGTTTCGCTGGAGACTGGCGCTGTCGGGACCTCGTTCGTGCTGCTACCATGGGGGGATGGGACAGCGCTGACAGCCCCTTGCGTTCTTCTTTTCCTTTAGCTGGTCGGGATGATCCACTTCTGCTACCTGCTTTCTCACTCTGGTCTTCCTTGTACTAACCCTCTCTTTCTCTTCCTCCCTTTTCCTTTCCTTGCCACTGACTGTGGGAAATCCAGTATGTTCAGGGCACTAAAGAGCTCTTGAGGACTGCTGCCCTCTGCCTCTCTTGGAGCAACCCAAGGGAAGCCAAGAGAAAGCGGACGATACCTGAAACTACAGCCATTACCACCACCTGTGCCTCCACTCGCCAGGGCTATGCTACAGCACCGGCTCCCCTCCCGTTGCAGGAGAGGGGCGAAAGCTGCCATGCACAAGGGGAAGCCTCTCCAAGCCCCCACCAGGAGCCGGCGCACTCTGCTGTCCTGTGGGTTTGAAGCTTAAAGCCATAAAACCACCTGCTCTAAGTGCAATAACAAGTATCTACCGTCTCCTGCCGCCAGAAACACTTGCGCTATTGAGCTGAGGCTGTAGGTGGCTGCCTGCCTTACTCCGCAGTGAAGCATCTCCCCTTTGGTCAGTCCCAGAAGATGTCATTAGTTATTAGTCAAGCAGCTCCTCCGAACTTAGCAGGCTTAGTGCAGCATTTGCAGCAGGGACGCAGGGCTGGTGGTTACTGGCTGTGCTGGCCAACACCCTCCCCAAGCTGCTTTCCCGGCACATGCAGCCCGAGGCCCCGTCTCGCTGGCAGTCCGTGCGCTCCGAGGTCACCTTTCAGGCAGTGCTCACCAGTAAGCTCGGCGTTTTCCGCTGTCTTAGGGTGGCTCCCGTTCTCAGGGAAGGGAGCAGAGCACAGGAGCAGCTTGCCTAGTGTCTGTCCCTGTCTAGCCTCTTCCCCCCACTACTGCAGTTAGTGTTACTGGGAGCCTGTGCCTAGCACCAAATGCACTAACACTCTGGCCACTAGCAAACCGGATGCGAGGCTTTACAAAGCAGCTAGTGCGAGACAGCCCAGCCGCTGCCTCCTGCCAGCCCCACGCAGGCTGGGGGACTGGAACCGTGTCAGGCTTTTTACTTTTGTAACACAATAAAGTTTCTCCTATTTACTGTACCTGGACCCCTGGCTTTTGTTCCTCCAGGAAGGCGTGCCTCTTCTCTGCTGCTCGTGACTGCACACGTGTTCCCTGGGGGGAGGTGGGGTGTGAATGAGAAGTCTCCTGCTCAATGATTTCAGGCTGCAAGCCAGGAATATCTAGCTCCCTGGGCTGCTGTGCACTGGTCCCAGCCATCTGGAGCCTCACTAGGTGCAAGTGGCAGGTGCTGGGAGCCTAGCACGAGTGTGCGGTATTGAGCTTTGCCTCTGTTGTTCAGGCCTCATCCCTGTGAAACCCCAGGTGCTCCCAGTCAGATCAGAGCCAGGCTGGGTCTTTCTGGAAACTTGATGCAGGGTGAGCTGCAGCTGGGAATCAGTCTGTCTTTTTTTCCCCCCCAGCTACCTGCGGGCTCAGTGCAGGGAGAGGAGGCAGGGGAGGAGGGGTGAGGGGCTGCTGGCTTTGCTGCTTCAGACCCAGGTGTATTTATTTAACTCATCATTTGACCCCCTGCTGCCTACCAGCCCTTTGGGCAGGGGGTTGGACCCCATGATTTTGTGAGGTCCCTTCAAGCCCTAATGTCTATGAAATGAAATCTGTGAAACTGGGTACAGGAGCCTCTGGCTGCTTCCTTCTCAACTGCCCTGTTGCAAAGTTGCTGGTGGACCCGAGAGTTGCAGTTTCGTATAACTGTGGCAAGGGGCTGATCTGTCCAGAGAGGAACAAGGTTGGGTCAAGAGCAGCAGGGGAAGCCATGTTGCATGCTCCCGAGGAGCCTGGCACGTCACAGGACTGAGGGGTGGGTACAGCAAGGTGCGGCGGTGCTGCGGGCCTTCCAGCCAGGGCGGGCGGGAGTGAGCAGGAAGCCTGTTGTGTTAATGCCAGAGTGGGTCTGCAGCTCTGGCTGTCGGTGCTCAGAGCTGGCCTGATCCATGGGCCCCACTGAATGTCATCACTGCCACGGGGTGTAGCCCAGCCTGCCTCTGCACACACGCTGGGACAATTTGTTGGGCATCTCCTTGATGCGTTTGCTGCCGCTTGTCATTCCCATTCACGCTGAGCTGTTTGGGAAGGGCGTCCCCCAGTCTGGTCCATGCACTGCCCGGGCTGAGAAGGTGAAGTGGGGCCAGCCCAGGCCAAGCCCATCTTGCCATGCTGAGCCCTGTGCCATCCTGGCCCCCCTGTTCTTCCTGCCACGTGCGCCCAGCAACTCGCGTTTGCCTCGAAGGGGAAGGAAGGGAAGGGCGAGTTCTAAGTTGAGCAGCTCCAGGCCTGAGAGCCCCTTTTCGTTGGGGTGAACTTGAGCCTCTGCTAAAATGGAGGCTTCTGAACAGCTCCTCTGGGCTAGGTCTGGTTCCACCAGCCGGGAGGCAGACGCGTGTGGCAGCATCGGCACTTGCTGCTGGACTGCAGCAGGGCCCTTCCTTTCCCCACAGCAGCGCCACGGCTTTTCTGAGCAAACAGTGACACAGATCAGGAAGGAGCTAATTCCTTCCTCCAGCCAGGGAAGAGAGAGTGGGGCTCACCGATGCTTGTTCCTTACCTCCCCGCTGGGCTTGGCAGCAGACAGGCCTGCTCAGTTTAATTCTCCAGCACCGAATGGAGCAAGCATGTGCCCTGCCTCAAGGCCCCTGGTGCAGCAAAGGGATCGCAGAACTGCCTGAAGGAAAGGCACCTCGCCACAGTCAGCCGCACAGGGCAGGAGGCTGCGCAGACCCTACCATGCGGTGGGTGAGCCACCCTCAAAGGGGAAGCAAACCAGGGGGACATTCACACTTGGGAAGGAATGACACGGCTGTGGCTAGAGCATGTGAGCACCCACCACGTGGCCTGGTATCCCCTGACAGCCCACAAGCTGCTCCCCACTATAGAGGGCCTGGGACCTACCTGGTGCTCCTTGCCAGCATCTCTTTTGGAAACACTCGTTGCTGGTTCCAGCACACAGCTACTTGGGCATCTGCAGCACCAGGGTCCCTGTCACCCCCATGGGGCCCCAGTGCAGCGTTCAGGCCACAGAGACGGGGACATGGGACAGGGAGTGCAGCACTAGCTGGGACCTGGGAGAACTGGGTTAAAGCCCTGCTCTGACACACATTTCCTGCATGAGCTTGGGCGAGTCCCTTTGGCACCACCGTTGGTCCGTGGGAGCTGCGTGTGGAAATCTCTCAGAGGTTCTGAGCCTCAGTGCCTGTCTGTGTGACAGCAGGGATCGCTGTGCTGCCCGCTCTGCCCCGGGGTGCCGGGAGGGGCTCAGATCCCTTGGTAATGATTACTCAGGGAACGGGGAAGGCCTCTAAGCTAATTGCACCCATTGCACCCAGGAAAGCTAAGCTCAAGTTACAGGGCTCAGCCTCCCGCAGCTCATCCAGGAGGGATTCAGCGCTTTAGCTGGGTCACGGCATTCCCCTCAAATCAGCAGCGAGCTGGTCTGATCTCACCGGGGTGTCACCGGGGCCTTTCAGCAGAGAAGGGCTCAGACGTCAGCTGCAGGGAGACACTCCAGGGCTCTGCGCAAGGATGAATAGTGCTGTGAGTCATGCAGCCAGAACAATTCCTCAGCAAAGTGGGACAGCTGAGTTGCCAGCCCCACCCTCCCCACAGCGGATAACATGGAGGATTAGTGCAATGAGTTTGTCACGCCGCGTCCTGGCAGCAGCAGAAAGGAGCAGTCGGCTCCCAGCAAGTGGGAACAAGCTTAATCAGTCTGAGAGTGAAACTGGAAGAGGAGATTCTAATCAGGGCATATCATGACAGGAGCTCCGCAGACAGTCCCTTTTTCCTATTTCATCAAAGAGGCTTTGAGCCAGGCTGGTAGCAAAGCGAGAAACCATCGGCCTCTCGGCAGAAGCCACTTTTCCTGCCTTGCACGCAAGGCCCTGGGGCAGGATGCTGGCTTTGGCAGCCACCGGGCTCTTGTGCTGGTGTGCAGTGACAAGGGAATCATCCCCATTCAAAGCAGTTTGCATGGACCCTCCAGAGTGCAAGCCCTTGGATCAGGGGTGGGCAATTATTTTGGGCGGAGGGCCACTTACTGAGTTTTGGCAAGCCATCGAGGACCGCATGACAGGCAGCCAGGGGCAGATAAATAGTAATTTTCTAAAATTTTTAGGGGCCCTGGGGGCTGGCTAGAATGGCCTGGCAAGCCACATCTGGCCCCCAGGCTGCACTGTGCCGATCCCTGCCCTGGGCGGTCTAAGATTGGCCTGGACACCCACTTCCCCCACGCCCATTTGTTCCGTGCACGGAGCCACATGCACCCACCTCTGGTAAAAGGGCTGGGTTGTCCAAGGCGCTGTCCCTCCTGAAGGAGGAGGATAAAGCACCTTGGTGTTGGAGCGGTCCCCAAAACGGACCTGGGCGACCCTATTCAGCCACATGCTCCTGGTTTGCTCCTCTCCTCTATAGACAGCTTTATTCTCAGGGTAGCAGAGATGAGCGCAGCGTGACGGGTTTCTTATGCCCTGCCTGTTGCCCACAAACCTTCCCCCTTTCCCCTGGAGGAAGGCCACATGCTTCTCGAGGCTTTTTGAGCCAGTGCTGTCATGCAAGTCTGCTCCCGTGCTCATGGGCCCAGCAGAAGAGGGCAGCAAGCTTACTGGGGGGGAGGCGTGATCTAAGCACAGCAGTGGGAGCCAGAAGCTCGTGGAGTCTTATTCCACCTATAAAACAAGCCCTCTCTGCACTTAGAGAAGTCACTTGTTCTCTCTGCCTGGGTTTCCCTGGCTGCACAAAGACCCAGCTCCCAGAGGAATGAGCCCTTTTGGTATCTGAAGAGCCCTATTTGAAGTGGCTGCATCGTGTTAGCTTTCTGGGGGTCAGACAAGGTATGTCTCATCAGGCTGAAGCTGCATAGCCGCTCGCCACTGGGGAGCTAGTGGTGCTACGCAGAGACCATCTGCACCTGGCAGAGGGGGCAGCTAAAGTCCCCGGGCAGTGAAAGATTTCCTGGAATCTGAAAAGCGGGGTGAAACCTGCTTGGGTCCTTCATCTCCCACAGCCCTGAGGGCTGATCTTGCTCGAGCAGTGGAGCAAGGCTCCCACGCAGAGCCTGGCCCGGTGCTTGAATCCAGGCGAAAGAGGCCATCTCTAGGTGCGTGTCCAGCCGAGATACTCTCCGACCACCTAGGAAGGGTGCGGCAACAGCCGGGGCGGGGGCCCAGTGCTGGAGCCCCAGTGCAAACCTCTGCTGCAGAGGCCAGCCTGTGATTGGCAGGCAGCAGGGTGGAGGCCTTGCTCGAGCTCGATGTCTCCTCCCTTCGCTGGCACATCATTAGTGAGCTCCCAGGTGAGTCACTGCCGTTTGCCTTTTAAGGAGCTGCCCGTCTAGGAGGAAGTAGAGGAGGGGCTCAGCCAGCGCTTCTCAGCCGCACCCAGCCCTTGCTCCAGGCTCAGACACTCAGCCAAAAGCAAATCCCGTCGGCGGCACTGAGACAGACTTTGAGGGCTCCCAGGACAACTGCCTGCTCCTTCTCCAACCAGCAGTGCTCCCCGCCATGGCACGAAACCACCAGGTGCAGAAAGCCAAGCTGGCCGAGCAGGCCGAGCGCTACGAGGACATGGCCGACTTCATGAAGGCCGTGGTGGAGCACGGGGACGAGCTGTCCAACGAGGAGCGCAACCTCCTCTCGGTCGCCTACAAGAACGTGGTAGGGTGCCAGCGCTCGGCCTGGAGGGTCGTCTCCAGCATCGAACACAAGACTGAGGAAGGTGACGACAAAGCGCAGCTGGTGAACGAGTACCGGGAGAAGATCGAGGGCGAGCTGAAGAACGTCTGCAACGTCGTCCTTGGGCTGCTGGACAAGCATCTCATCGCGAAAGCCAGCGATGCAGAGAGCAAGGTCTTCTACCTGAAGATGAAGGGAGACTACTTCCGATACCTGGCTGAGGTGGCCACGGGGGATGACCGCAAAGACACCATAGACAATGCCCAGAAAGCCTACCAGGAGGCCATGGACATCAGCAAGAAGGAGATGCAGCCCACAAACCCCATCCGCCTGGGGCTGGCCCTCAACTTCTCTGTGTTCCACTACGAGATCGCCAACGCCCCCGACCAGGCCATCACGCTGGCCAAGACCACCTTCGATGAAGCCATGGGCGACCTGCACACGCTCAACGAAGACTCCTACAAGGACAGCACCCTCATCATGCAGCTGCTCAGGGACAACCTCACATTATGGACAGCCGAGT